GAAGAACTTGAGCGCGCCAACTTAAGTTTAGTATCGGTAGCGACGCCACTTTATTCGTAGTCGTTAACAGAGTATGAGGAAGGGCAACATTTCTGCCCAATAACACGTCCAAAATTGGTGCCAGCACATAATCGCCGTCGGATACCGGAGGAAAACACCTCATGATTACATAGGTAACAGCTTCGGACGCAAGGCCAACGTACTCGACAGAACACAAACGTGGTTGTCGTGTAGTTGGAGTGTCAAATCAATAAGGTAGGTCAAGCTGAAGGAAGCCTACTCCACAGTCAATTAAGGCAGAATGCATGGCAAGAAAGTCCATGCCTCGGATGTGTTCATGAAAGCCCTTCTCGAGCACGGCAAAAAGCACAGTTGTGGAGCGGTCAGCAACACTAACACATGCGGAGCACATTCCAAGCACAGAAAAAGTTCCGCCATCGGTGACTTGGATGAGCGGCACTGTGGGCGGTGTTAAAACCTTATGAGGCGGCGGCGAAGCTCCGAGTCCATCACCGAAATGGGGGACCTTGTGTCTACAAGGGCAACAAAAAGTGCATTGTCTACTTTAACGTCTATGTGGTTGCGTCGTGTCGGCATAGTCAGATGATTTGGCTGGAGAATCGTCGATGCAGGATCACTTCTGGGAGCTGCATCGGCGAAATTGAAGTGAGCGCGATGATGGGCGACAAGACTGCGCTGAGCAGGACTGGTGGCCGGGAGGGGATAATGACGGACAATGCACCTTCGACGAACCGTTACCACTGGCTGGCCGAGGCAACTCGTGGCGAGTTCAGAAGTGGCCATGATCTGCCTCTGCACGACGGTTGTAGCCTTAGGAAGGCTGACGCCAATACCACCAGCTATTGCATTAGCGGGTCACGTGACCAATACGGTGGCAGTTAAAGCTAATGGGCTGGTCATCAGCAGTCCTCCACTCAGTGTGATTGCGAAAGCGCGCTGGGAGCCTCTGGCCTTAGGCGCAGGAAACTGGCGGATGACGGTCAATCGGTCGGGAGGAGGCGGTGGTGCACACATACTCTAGGCCAACGTTCGAAGGCTCTTGGCGAACGATGGCATGCGCTAAAGACACCATTTGGTAGCTGGACTCACAGGCACAAGAGAAAGTCAAAGCGGGAGACATAGCTTCAAGTCAGCGGTGCCTGTGGTACAGGGATGTCTTTCTACGACCATGTTGCTGTGGTGTTGGGAAGTCGAGTGAACTGATGGGAAATAAGTCGGCATTTGGCGGCCTCAAATTGCTGGCACTCTCGGATAATGGTATCTACTTTGCCACAGTCATTGCTAATTGGCAAATTAATGCATCATCAGCAATGCTTTTTAATATGTGCGCTACCTTCTCTGACTCCTCCATGCCGTCGTCTGCTTTGCGGCAAAAGGCGAGCACGTCCTGCATGTAAGACAGGAACGACTCCGATGACGTTTGAGCACGACATGCAAGCTCCTTGGCCGCTGTCTTCCTGCCAGTCAATTTGCAGAACAGTGCATGCATCTTTTCTTTGCACGCATCCCAGCTGCCAATTTCCGCTTCGTGGTTCTCAAACCACACTTTTTCTGTCCCATTCAGGTGAAATAGGATGTTCACCAGCATGAGCATTTCGTCCCAGCAATAATTTCTGCTTGTTCGCTCGTGCAGCAATAACCATTCAATGTCGACGTTGTCGGTCCCACAGAACGTGCCAGGGTCTTTCAGCAGGGGCAGAATAACTGTCGCCGTTGCGCTGGCCGCTGCGGGAGCTGAAGCCGAACCCTCTTGTGCCATCGTGGAAGAAACTAAGCATCAGCCGCTGCGTAGCTCCGTTATACCGTCTTGTTACACCAGACCTCCACCAAAATGTCACGTGGTGAGAGTAGGCAGAGGGTAGAAATATATTTACAGATTGTACGCGAGTACACCATGTCCTTGAACCAAGATGGCGGAGTGGCAACAAAACGAGCTTTTGTTCAATCGTCATCTTCGTCGCCTTTATGGTCCATTCCTTGATGTTAATGATGACTTGCATCATTATAGTGCGAATTGTCAATCATTTCCTTGTCTGGCGCGCCATCATGCAACCATGTTTCCGTTGTTATCATAATATGGAGATCGTGGTAAAGAAGGCACTCGAGTTCACTTGTTTTGTTCATGCTGCTACGAACATTCCCATTAATTATTCTAAGATATATCCGTCCCGCGCTTGCATGGTTTCATAAGGCATTTGATGTGTTGAGTTCCACTGATTGACGTGTGGAGTTCCACGGCTGAGTTCCACGGAGTTACTCCTTGCCTCTGCGCTATCGCGCGTTAATGCTCTCAAAACTGCTTGATCGCTTCTGTCTTCATCCCACATATAAAGCACGTCATATATATTTAGTTGGTCATGAATAAGTGTCACCTTTTTGCCGTTTAACCAATCTTTTTTTCCACACTGTCACAGAAGCAGTCGCTTATGTCGTGTCGAAGAACTGTAATACTTACTAATATATAAATTAGTGCCTTTCAGCTTTTGTGCATTCCGTATTTCGGTCTCTTTTTCTATGAATTCTTTGAAATACACAGTGACTGGCCCATTTTGGCGACCCTTACCGAGAGCGTGAATTCGCACCACCAATTTGCGATTTTGCCCCTGTTTTCTGCCCAAAAGATCTTAAATCCCCTTGTCTCTTAACATTAGTTCATTCTCTCTGCTTTCTTCATGGATGCCATAAATTACAAAAACAAAAGCTGCATTCGAAGGTCTATCTCAGGTAAATAGCTCATTAGGGCAAAACAGTCTTTTTCTTTTATTCATAGGCAACTTATCACCAGGTAATTTCAAAGTAGATGCGGGGGCGCGCATGCCAATGCTTTTGCTGGTCCACTTCGAAGTTTCAGCTGTGGAAACTTTTCTGGACGCTCAGTTTTGGTGAGAATGTCTGTGCGTACTTTAAAAAATATTTGGACAATAATAGAAACCATGTGGTGATATCAGGGAAAGCACACTTGTGCGGAAATACCGCGAAGGGTGCTTTCTTGCACCTCTTCCACATTTACCTTTTTTCGCAATAATGCCCCTTTATTGTTCCGAAAGTAACTCTCAGCAATTTTTATGACCTCTACACTCCCTTTGATGGAGTAGTCAGTGCTTGGTGGTAGTCAGAAGAATTTTTCAGTTGTATCAGCTTCGACGGTGGACTACTTTCCTCTAAAACAATGCGACAATTTTCACACTGCGTTCGCTTAATCACACGTGAAACTACGTAGCCCGTCAGATACACCATGGACTCTTATACATGGGCATTTAAATCTAGGAGATCCTCGGGGCTTTTACCATTGTTTATAATTACTTCTGTTTAATTTGAGGTGGGAAAGTTCACCAACATACAGCCTTCCTCCTCAGCATAGCTGCCATGCTTTCTGGGTTTAAGGAATTGCGCTAGTGTGGCACTCCTCAAGCAGCATTTAAAATCATAGAGTCTTAGTACAGGGTTTTTCGCATGCAGGGTGGAAAAACAAAATTTCGAGGCCGCCCTGGCTTAACCTGCTCAAAAGAATGTACTGAAAGTTGCACTTGTTTAGAAGTAAATCTTGTACTTCTAGAGCTGTTTTGGTCGCTAGAATGATACCTCTCTGCAAAGGCTTCCAAACTCCTTTGTTTTCAGTGCCAATATAAAGGTTAGAGAATAATTCGGCTGTAGCATTAAAAAATGCAACACTTACCCGATGAACTTCTTTAACCGCATGGCTTAAAGCGAGGTTAGTAGTTCGAGACGTCATGTGGCGAAACCACTTTAGTATGGTTTCAACGAACCATGCAGTACCAACGCACCCCATGCAGAACCAACGACCCATGCAGTCCATGCGTTTACGCAAATTGTTTCTTCTTCTCCAGTAGACGCAAATCAGAACCTGTGTCATTATAAAAAAGATGAAAGGCTGGTCCTACTTTATTTTGTCGTAATGATTTGGATCAAGATTGGATTCGTTCAATGCGGAGCAAGCTTCATGTCGTCCTTCTCGTCGTGCCTCACAAGAGCCTTTATGAAGTCGATGTTCACGCAGTTCGTTGGAAAATCATGCTTATTTGTTAGTTCCTCCTGAAGGTAGATCAGTTGACCTTCAACCAAATATTTTCTTAAATTTTTCAGTAAGTGAGGTACATCGGCCATAAACCAAAGCTTTTTTTTTTTTGTGGGTCGCAGGGGTGAGGACAACCGGTTCGCGGCCTCCGGTGTTTTCCTACGGTAATGCCAAAGAGCTTCCCAATTGCTTGATTTGCGCTGCCCATGTCAGAAACAACGACGTGGATACTGAGACCGATGGACTCACACGTCGTAATCAGGTCAACTACTTGAGCTTTGAGGCTCACCGAATGAATAGAATTGCCAGTGAGATGATAGCCAATCGTTTGCTTCCATCTCGTAGTTAGACCTCCGTTCATGAACACTGAACTGTGTGTTGCTAAGCAGTCATCCGGTAGTTAACCATCAGATAAAGTGTGGCGGAGCTCGATACATTGCAACATTTATGATCATATACGAAACCAGACTTTATTTACATCTCGTCTAGCATTAAAAACGCATGACGTTCCTCTAGCTTCAGTAGGCTGACCTGCAGAATGCAAATCTATGTTACTGACCCAACGTTAACTCACAACAGTGTCAATGAAGAAGAGACAGAGTACATTAAAAACGTACAGATTTGACCATTCAATCGTGAGGCTAGCAGAGCAAATAATAATAATAATAATAATAATAATAATAATAATAATAATAATAATAATAATAATAATAATAATAATAATAATAACTTTTGGAATTGAATGTCCCGAAACAACATATGATTATGAGGCACGCCGTAGTGAAGGGCTCAAGAAATTTCTGCCAGCTAGGCTACTTTAACGGGCACTGAAAACTATATACGGTATGTAGGTCTGACAAGACAAAACATGCGTATATGTTAATATCTACGAATACCCACCACGGTGGTCTAGTAGTTATGGTGCTCCACTTTTCTCCCGCAGGTCATGCGATGAAATCTCAGTAGCGGCGGCCGCATTGTCGATGGAGGCAGAACTGTCCGTGGCTCGTGTACGTAAGTTTAAAACACTTCACGTGATTAAAGTTTCCAGAGCTCTCCCCTACGGTGTCTTTCATAATATTGTCATGGTATGGGACGTTAAGTCCAATCATTTATTATTATCTACAAATAGGCTTAAAATGTTAACTTCATACCTTTATCTTTAAAGATTCGATGATATCAGTAAGCAGCCCGGGTTGAAACTTTATATGCTCGATGTGCCTTTGCAGGGTACGTTGTGGGAGCAATGGGTAATCATTATCTTTAAGAAGTTGTAGCCCTGCGTTCAGCATGACAGCTGTAGCCTCAGTGACTTGACGAGAGTCGCAGCTTCCCATCGCATTCCCTGAGTAGATAGCCGCTCCAGTGACGACATCTGATCATTACTAAAAAATTGCTTGATCTTTTTCTTAAGCTGAGCCTTTTCCGCTTCGCTCTTCAAATATCTTTTCATTGCAGCTAGTAATTTTTCTTTCTCTTTTTTTGACCGCGTTCCAATGCAGCTATGCGTTCCAAAAGGGCCTGCTGAGATGCTGAAAAAGAAAGTTTTTAGTGTTTGCAACATTGGTGTTGCGCAATAAATAATTGTGTTCAGGGCTTCTACAGAAGCACTGATTGGTCTTATTCGGCGAAGTAGTCAGCAGTAGAGAATATGTGTGTGCATAAACTGTTTTTCAAAAACGGCCCAAGTATAAATAGCGTGCTAATAGCCGATTGTAATACAGAAACGACCGACTCATACAAGTACAGAATTATTGTATAGTTATTCGCTACTTGGGGCAAAATAAAATAAATAAATATTCATTCTAAACGGAAGCCCCGGTGACGAGTCACGGAATAAATCTGTAGTAGTCGAACAACGCAACACGGATATAAACTATAAAAGACGTGCCACTGGAAGTGTGCATTTTCCTCTGTGATCTTCAAGTGTTACACAAACGAACACTGCAGTTTGCTATTGGTCACAATTACCCATGCACCAAGGCCAAACTCCACAATTAATAATTGTGGCATGAGTGCGCGGCCGTACGCTAAATTAATGTGAAGACAACAACCTACAGGAAGGTTCACTTCGGCTGATGAGGCCCTAGTCCAGTCGCGCTTTTGTGCAAGTCCGTGGCACCAGCCGCTGTTCGAAAGCGTAATATTATAAATACAACAGTATTAAGAAGAAATGATACCACCTACCTTTGTTCTAAACATCTTGGTTCCACAGACCGGGCAGATCGCAGGCGTCCTGAGATGGGTCTAATAGAGAAGTTAGACTAATGGCATGAATGCATGGCCGCACGCCAAATACATGCGTGAAATGAGTCAATTGCTTAAATAAAGGTTCTTTTAGCGAGGTGGCGGGCCCTATTCTAGTCACGCTGCTGTGCAAGTCCGTGGCACTAGGTGCTGTTTGAAGGCGTAGTATGATAAATACTACAGTACTAAGAAGAAATTGTACTGCCTACCATTCTTCAAACCAGGTTCGTTGCACATACCGGCCAGATAGTAGCCTTCCTGACACAGAGCTAATAGAAAAGTTCAATAATTGACAAGGAGCTAATAGAAAAGTTCAATAATTGGCATGAGTGCACGGCCACACGCGAAATGAGTGCGTGAAACGAGACAGTTGCTTACATGAGGGTTCACTTGGCGTGGTAGCGGGTCTCATTTCGGTCGTGCTGTTGTTCTCACGCAAGCAGGGGGCCATGATTGGCCCTACATAAAACATCGTACGGTCTGAGGCAGCATGATAATAACCGCCTATAACGTTTTTGCTTAAACGATCGCACCCGAAACAAGAGTGAGCATCTGCTACTACGTGCTACTGCCAGCCTCAGGCTCACCTCTCGGTCGAGAGGACTTCCTGTGCTTCACGGCAGGCCGGTGTGAAAATATTGTTGGGATTACGTTGGGCTTGTGGTTCTTCTTCCCAAATTGTTATAAAATACGTGGCTCAAATTGGTCCTCAGTGAAGTGTATCTAGAGTGTTTGAGAAATGGTTAATCATCCATGCACGATAAATAATGTTCTTTAAACAATTACAAGTGGCAAATTATTTCCAGTGCTATAGAAACCATTCGTACGAAAATTCACTCCCTCACAACGTCTTAACCATGATAACGTTTTCCGTACGCCAAGAAAAATCAAATAACAATTGAATGAATCATAGCCGACTGCTAGCTTGGTCAAATTACATCGATGCCATGATTTTGGCTCGCATTACATCAATATTGATACACAACAGCCGGCACAGCCTGGCTGCAAGAAAGAGAAAGAGGACGTTGGTAACTGGTTGTTGATGAACTGTCGCCATCTTGTTCGCCGAGCATGGTGCATCGTATTTAATTTATAAATGAGTTACCTGTAACATTATTGGTGGAGGTGGACGACTCCCGTACCTTGATGGAGACGCGCAGCGGTGGCAACACCGGGTACTCTTCGGCTACTTCAACTGCCAGTGCCTCATCCCCAGCGGTCTCTCGATCCGAGTCAACAACCTACGTCATCCTGCCACCCCTGCGGGATCCTGGAACTTTCTCCGCTGACGGTACCATCGACTTTGACTCCTGGCTTCACCGGTATGAGCGAGTCAGTGCTACCCACAGCTGGGATCCCACGCTCATGCTCGCCAATGTTGTGTTCCACCTCGACAGCACGCCGCGGACATGGTTCGAAACCAACGAAGCCAAAATCACAAGCTGGGATTTTTTCAAATCGAAGATCTATGGTCTTTTTGGCGATTCATCTGGTCGTCGGCTCGCTGCCAAGAAGACTATGGCCACTCGCGCCCAGACGTCTAGTGAATCGTACGTCTCATACATTCTTGACGTCTTGGCGCTTTGAAGCAAGGTCGACCAGCGCATGTCAGAAGAAAAAGTTAATCACGTCCTCAAAGGAATTGCTGACGATGCCTTCAACCTGCTGGTTTCTAATAATGTCACGAGCATCGACACGATCCTGACAGAATGCCGCCGTCTAGAACAGGCTAAAGCCCGCCGCGTCACCCACGGCACCAGGCGCCTGCCGAACACAGCTGCTAGCTACTTCCTCTTGTGATGATGCCGTCCGCCTATTTTCCCGATGTGACAACCTCACCCGCATCATTCGTCGTGAGGTCGGGGCAGCCCAACCAGTAGCTACTTCATGTCCAACGCCTGATCCTTCGCCGACCACTATCTCACTGATACAAGCCGTCGTTCGTCAAGAATTATCGAACTTCGGCCACACCCCATTCAACCAATCTACTCTGCCGAGCCTTTTTATCGTCGTCCCTCCGCTCCTTGATTTGGTTCAAACTACTCTCGACAGCGCAATTTGCCCGAATGGTGTACACTGGACGACAAGCCTATATGCTTCAACTGCCGACGTGTCGGTCATATTGCTCGCCACTGCCGCAATCACTGGGCTCCACTGGCACACAATGGGCATCCTACCCAGGCCACTTCTATCCACCAGTCGCCCTCAACATTTTATTTTGCTTCCCCTATGCCGACCACATCCTCTGATTCTGCCGCACCTCTGACGAGACCTCGCTACGCCCGCTCACCATCCCCTGCTCGCCGTCAATCTCGTTCGCCCCCACAACGCCGTCCTGCCTCTGGATGGATGGATGGATGCTATGAGCGTCCCCTTTATAACGGGGTGGTGACAAGTATGCCACCAGGCTCGAAAGAAAAAAAAAAACCTTTTTTCTTTTTTTTATGTTGGCCTAATGCCTCTACTTCGATAAATTCTATCTTAATGGAAAAAAAAGGTAAATTTTCAGCTTAAGTTCTCTGCCATTTACGGCACACTGTCCATATTTTATTTTTCCAATATTTATTTTTGTCCTTTCTCTCTAATTTTCTGCCACCAATACTCTAACCGTCTCTTACTTATTTCAATCGCGGGTGTGTTCAGCTTTCCATTGTTGTCCCTAAAACCCAAGGCTTCCTGTAGGCTCGTGCCCAAACGTACACCTGGGTGGATATCTCCACATTCAATCAGAACATGCTCCGCCGTTTCCTTATCTTTCCCGCAGCATGTGCATTGTTCTTCTTCTTTACTGAATCTTGCTTTATAACTACGCGTTCTAAGGCAACCCGATCTCGCTTCAAACAGTAAAGCGCTTCCCCTTGAATTATCGTAAAATGCCTCCCTCCTTATTTCATTTTTGCCCTTTCGGTAGTTACTCAAAGCCGGTTTTTTCTCCATAGCTGCCATCCAGTAAATCCTCTCCGCCTCCCTGACTTTTCCCTTAACGCTCTTTGTTGACATATGGCTTACAATACCAGCCGTATATTTACTAGTGAGTCTTCTAGTTCTTTTTCTCCACTGTGTGTCCACGCTCTTCCTATACAAATAACGGAACACCTTCTCTGCCCATCTACTCTCCTTCATATTTCTTAGCCTTTCTTCGAACCTTATTTTGCTATGCGCTTCCCTCGCCTCAAAACCTGCCCACCCCATATCGCCATTTACAGCCTCGTTTGTCGTCTTCCCGTGAGCACCCAACGCGAGGCGTCCCACAGTCCTTTGATTTACATCCATTCCCGATTGCACCTCTGCCCTCATGCACACCACTGAGTTCCCAAAAGTAAGCCCTGGAACCATTACACCCTTCCACAGACCTCGAAGCACCTCATACCTATTGTATCCCCACAACGCTCTGTGCTTCATTATTGCCGCATTCCTCTTTCCTTTTGCTGCCGAGGCTTTTTCCTGTACCTCCATGTATCTATCACTCTCATTTACCCATACTCCAAGGTACTTGTATTCACTTACCCTCGGTATTTCTTGGCCTTGTATGGACACCGTCTGATCACAGGGATCATTGAATACCATCAATCCACACTTCGTTACACTGAATCCTAGTCCAAGAGCTTCACCTTCCCTTCCGCATATATTCGCCAGCTGCTGTATATCATCTCGACTGTCCGCAAATAAGACGATATCGTCCGCATAAAATAAACCTGGAAGCTTCTGCTCAATCATCATGCCGCCCTGTTTGTGTGACAGATTAAAACCAATGTTGCTACCT